TGCAGAGAAGTGCTTGGCTTTATATAAATGGACCTATTTCATTTGATGATTGGAGTTTCCTATATTTTATTTCTCTGTACCGAGCACAAGTTACTTGGATATAGTGCAGCGAGCAGAGTGAGGCGACCCCTTTAGTACACCCAAACATTACCCCCCATCCCTGTGCATTGTACTGAATGGGGAAGTTTCTGCCTATTGATCTGTATAAGTGACTTTGGTGATTTGGGTTCTTGTCACTGAAGGGTATCCAGCTCAGGCCCAGGATGTGATATAATCAATGTGAGGAGGGGTACCATGAAGGTTTTCTGTATACCGAACCTCAATATAAACGATATACTGTGCAGAGGAGATTCCAATGTATTAGAATGAATATAAAAAGATAGAAATGTGAGGAGGATGTCGTGATATGAATATGAGGAGGATGTCGTGATATGAATATGAGGAGGATGTCGTGATATGAATATGAGGAGGATGTCGTGATATGATTACAGATAGAATGCAGCTCGAATATTATCACCATGTTAAATATTTCCCCCTTAGAATAAAATTATGACTCCTGATCTGTGCATTGCACTTCCATTCTAAGCACGTATGTAATCCTTTCCTATAATATAATGGTAGTAACTGAGTTTATTGCACTTTTGCACGTTGAAGCTGCTTTTACTTTTTTCAATATCTCTATCCGACATCATAACATGCGTCGGGCCGCAATGGTGCAGGTATATGACCCTGTCCCTCTGCTCCGCAGGTACCCTTCTTCCTCCGCATGGATTCCGACGCCAGCCTGGGCTCCAGCCGAGCCTCGTCCCCGGATGTGGATGACCTGTTCCTGCACGCGCGGAGAGGTGGCGGTTTCTCCGCGGCCGTGTCCTCCTCCACCATGAGCGACTCCCCCGCGGAGCTGAGCGCCGAGCTGCGGAACGCCTAACTCGATTGACTGCAGCCCAGATTGTACAGGGTCACCCCAACTGCAAAAAAACCAGCGCAATCTCCTCGTCCAATCAGCACCCAGCACCCCTCTGCCACAACTTCAACCCCATAAACTTTATTTCTTGTTCTTCTAAACAAAAATCCAAGACCTTTATAGACCGAGTCCTTAGAAGCACACCTCTTATGCATTTTTGCCTCTTGTAAATATATAAATATATAATTATATACTATTTAACATTTTCATGGTTCATTTTGAGGTTAACACACAATAAATAGGAGGGCGAACTACTAAAAGGTCTTAATTAGGTCAAATACATTTTTTAAAATAGGTCTTTGGATTAAAAAAAATGTGATATTTTTACTCTTCCATTGAGTTTTTCGTTCTGCAAGATTTCGGTTTTTGCATTGCGCCCACTTTTGCTCGAAATAATTTCGTTTTATTAAGATTTGGGGGATTTTTGTATATAATTTGATTTAAAAAAAAAAAAAATATTGCTTTGTGCACTTATACAGAAGAAAAAAAATGTACATCGTTATGGCTGCATAGATTTTATGCTGTTATAAGATATTTATCACTCTTGTTGGGAGAAAAGAAACCGGTGCCGCTTCCCCCACATAGGCCTATGCGTCATGCTGGGATTTGTGGTTGCACAGCAAGTGAAAAGTCATCGGTTGTCTCAAGAGTTAGGAATCTTCACACCATAAACTGTGTGTTCACTTCTCTCATCCTATCAAGTGAAAAGCAAATCCCTGTTTACATAATTCATTTGCATGTGATTGGATAATTGAAGTTAATATTCGCACGATTTATTGTGTGATGATTCTCAACTGCTTTAGTAAATTAGCCCATTAACGTTCAAGCTGTTTTCTATATCACTGCCTTGCCTCACCGTCCGAACACTGCCTGGCCCACCGAAAAGTTTGGTCGCCTGTTTATTTTTGTATAAAAAAAGAAAGAAAGAAAATGCTAAAATATTTATTACCTTATTTGGTTTGGACAGAAAACGTTTGATGAAATGATTTAAATAAACGATTTTTCTAAGTAAACATCTTTTGTTTTGTGTTTTATGAATTTTTAAATCTGTATTAATACATAAGCAGGAGGTCATCGATCTCTTATCTATTTCACTTATTAAATATTAAGCTATTGATGATTATCGGCTGATAGTTGTGTTATTAAAAAAATGTAGCAATTATGGAGAAGTCAATCATGATAAAAAAAATAACTGTAAACGAACAATTATGGAGAAGTCAATCATGATTAAAAATAACTGAACAAATGATTATGGAGAAGTCAATCATGATAAAAAAATAACTGAACGATTATGGAGAAGTAATTATTATTAATAATAATGAAAATAATAATAACAACTGAACGAACGATTATGGAGAAGTTAATCATAATTGTGAACGAACGAAAACAGACATAAGCACAATATTGTCCATTGTTGGTTTTAGTTTAACATAAATTAGGTCTGGAAAGAATTAATAACATGAAGTAGTTGTGTTTATGAGGAAGTAACAAACAATTATCATGTGGTAACTCATGATGAAAAGAAATACTGCGAGTGAACCACTGAAGACAAATTCATTGTGCTAACAAATAAAATAGTAAATAAGATAAAATGTAACTAAGATAAGAAAACTGCACTCTCTGAAATGGACCAATATGTGTCCACTTTGGCTAATCATGGCCATACATGTGATTGCACAATCCACTTTTAGGTAACACATATACATGTAATATATAATAAATACAACATAAGAATGTTTAGAGGAATGGGTATAAAATAATAGAGAATGCTCACTATGGAAAATGAATGGTCACTGAGGTGATAGTAAATATGATGAAGCTGTGTTCAGTTTAATCATCTGATCAAGAAAACAATCCGGTGTTTAGTTTCACTTGCCCATGGCTGGGCATTCAAAGTGAACGCAGTTTCCTCTTATTTACTAAGCTCCGTGAACATTCTTTCTGCTAAATAAACGGTTTTCTTTTCAGTAAATTAAGCGCAATTTATTCATACAATTTGGATGTGATTGTATGAAATGGCGGAGTGGATAAGCCAATCGTTCTGTAATACATTACAACCTAAATGTATAGATTGTATCATCAGATTATTCATCGTAATTGTACAGAGTTTCATATCACAGATCGTTTCGTAATCGCCTGCCACGAATATTGCTACTTTATAAAACACACACACACATGTCAGTGGAAGATATTTTTTTTTAAACAAGTACAAACATTTTTAATAAGTGCAAAAATGTCACAAGGACATAAACTGTGTTCCACAGACCATTCAGCTTCCGATGAAATAATATGAGATCGTCTGAGGAATGAAAAATGAAAAACAAAAATAACTTTGCAGATGGATGTTTCTGGAGTCATTGGTCTGTGACAGGTACACTTTATCAATAGCTCATCGATTGTACCAAGATGAGCAGATATAGTGCAATCAGAAATTCGCTGGCATTGATTTAGTAGCAGAGGCTGATCACAAACTGAATGTTAATAAATAGGGTGAAGCTGCGTTCACTTTGACAACCAATTGTTGGTGAGGGAAATTATAAAAACAGTATTTTTGATCCTGGGTACTCACAGTGAACACAGTACTATTCAATATATAATAAACTCCACAGTCATGCAGAACAGAGAGCTTGGATATGTAACAATTCATTACCTGCACACACAGACAAATTCAGGACGATTTACTAAAGGAGAAGAGACTGTCCATTTAGAAAGGGAATGTTCACCTAGATTAGCGAAAAATGTAAAGCTGTGTTCACCTCGAATTCACAATCATAGAGGAAATTGGAAAAAAGCAAAATACAAAAACTTGGGGCTTCTTCTTGTGGGAAGATTGAAGCAAACACTTATGTACTAATTATTATTAGATAATGTATGTATTTATATCACCTTATGTACTGATCTAGGTGGACAGTCTCCACTCCTTCAGCAAATCAAATCTAGTAAATTAGAGTGAATTCTTAAAATGAATACAATGAATTAAAATATTGCCTGGGATTACAAGTATGACTATTTATTCAGTGTGTGTGTGTGTGTGTGTGTGTGTGCGTGTGTATATTTTGAATAAATGGATGTATATATGAATACAAATATTGACACTGAATGTATATATATAATATTTGTACATGTCTATTCATATTTGTTTTTGCATCTACACACAGAGAAAGCTGTGCAGCAACATTTGGGATAAGTTGCAACAGCGTCATGGAGTAGTTGTAGCAACTATTTCATGTGAACGGGAATATATATTTCATGTGAAGAATAGGTGAACTCTGCACCCTCCATGCACTGTTTGTCATTGGTGCTGGACAGCTCGGTCTGCATGTACAGGTAGAAAACATATTTTAAGGCAAATGAAAGAAAAAAACTGGTTCACATACTGTATTCTATATTACATATAGTACCATGGTTCATATACTGTATTCTATATTACATGTAGTACCATGGTTCATATACTGTATTCTATATTACATGTAGTACCATGGTTCACATACTGTATTCTATTATTACATGTAGTACCATGGTTCATATACTGTATTCTATTATTACATGTAGTACCATGGTTCATATACTGCATTCTATTATTACATGCAGTACCATGGTTCATATATTCTATTATTACATGCAGTACCATGGTTCACATACTGTATTGTACCTTTTTTTGTGACACACGACGCGCTGCATTATTAGAAAATAATGGCACTTCCAGTGCAATCGACTGTGGTGGGCGACTCTATGACCGTGCGGCAATCCGCACGGTTTTGTGCACGATTTCCGCCTTAATGAATTATTTCCACTCTGGACATGTCCCTTCACATAAAGCTTGACCAAAAAGGAAGAACCCCGCCCCCCCAAAAAAGCCATATAAGCCATAAAAGCCATATAAGCCATAAAAGCCATATAAGCTGTCATATAAAGGTGCTCTTGTAGGGAACCTGCCATGAGAGCAGTACAGGGTGCATATGTTGATCTCTCCTTCTACAAATGCTGGTTGCTTGGCTGTCATGTCATGCTGACCCACTTGCTATAATACTGCAAGTCACTCGCCCTGAAGGACTTCTGTCATTTCCAACTTTCCTGATTGCACACTAATTATGGGTCACAGACTCAGAAAATATTGAAGCGGAAGACGACAATGGCGACCCCTGTGTTTGGTTACTATGTTGATGAAATATTAGTGTAAAGAATGAATGGCAGTTGCAGAGGGCCCATGCTATCTGTCAGGGGCAACAAGCACTTAAAATAGCCAAACACTGTAAGACCTATGGGCTTAACACGAAAAATCACTTGATTCCTCCTTCATAATAAATAGCTGGGGTGGTGGGGTGTCCCTACCGGCTAATGTATTCTGACAGCCGGCAGCTGCAGTTGTCAGAGTATCTGAACAGTGTCACTGTCACTGTCCGGTCAACAACTTTCCATCTGCCTCCTCCAACAAACCTCAATTAAAAAAAAATCAGTTTTAAGCCATTTAAAATGCGGACTAAACCACTTACAATGGATGCTGCTGCTTGATGTTTAAAAGTCTTAGTTCCCTGCAGAATCAGCTGGTCCCCTGAGCATTGGTACTGATATCCTGTTTTAGGGAGGCTCCTTTCCCATGCAGGGTCCTATGGATCCACCCTTGCTTGTGCTGGTAAGCTGTGTGTCTCCACAAACACACAGGCACAGCAAGGCAAGACCCCCCCCCCCCCCCTATCTTCCTTCCTTCTTTCTCCAAGCTAGTAAATGGACAGCTACTGGAGACTGTTTTGCCCCTTGTGAGCTCGTACTGGACAGGAAGTTCAGGGAAGCTGAGCCGAGAGAGTTGGAGCTGTTTGGAAACATGACTGTAAGTGATTGATCTAAAATATGAAGAAATACTTTGCAGGATTCATGTATATTTGCTTGATCTGGATTCATTATTGAAAAAAAAAAATGATTGAGAGTTTATTAATACTTTAATTAGGGTACACTGCTGTGTACTTACCATTGGCAGCATTAACCTAAAAGAACATTTGGGATTTCTGCATTGTTGCAGTCTGCTTTGCCACACTGCGTTCTCATTTTATGGGTGACAGATTTGTCTGTAAGGGGTACATTGGTGGTCTGAAGACAGAAACAATTTCTAATCCAGTGTTTGTTTGTGTAAGAACATTTCTAGAGAGTTTGTAGGGAATATTGCCAGGAAACAAAAGATTTCTTCAAAGCAGCAAATTAACGATTTTTGTATTTCTCTGTTTATTGATTTCCAGGATAAGGAATTGATTGCATGCAAGTGTAAACACATTCAAGGTATCGTATTATTTTATTTTTATATATATTTTTATTTTTGTATTTTCAGATGAGAAAATATCAGTTTATAAAATGTGAGAATCTTTTGTCTGTGGGTAGCCAAAACCTTTTTTTTTAAGCTTGGAATTGAATAGGAAATGGTAAAAACCGTGCCAGGTTGGGTTTTTTTTGCGTCTGTTGTCTCATTGGGGAGATTTTCCTTTACTAATGTTTAGGAGACAACAGGAATGAGAGACAATTTCTCCATAGTCCTGGCAAGGTGCGTTGACGTGACATTCAGAATGTATGTGTGTGAATATGCCCTAAGGAGCAAAGAGCATGCATCTTTTAATACAAGAATCTTACCCAATCAAATAGCAGCACTTTGGCATGCTGTTCTTAAGTATATATACAGTATATATATATCTCTCTCTATATATATATTTATATATATAGAGAGAGATATATATACTGTATATATTTTAATTTCAGGTCCAGTTCAGACTGAACCCGGTCTGAACCTGAGCTCTTCAGAGCTTGGAAACAGCTCCTCCGAACCCGGAAGGAAACTCCTTCGGCTGTCACCTCCTGCCCAATCTGCTGTGCGTCTGGAAATTCTCCACACTGCAGCTGACCATAAACAATGGGGTGGGATGCTTGTGCTGATATCATTGCCTTTATATGGCCACATGGCCACATTAGGTAAATGTTATTTTCCTAATATAGCAATGCAGTCATATAAAGTCAATGATATCATTGCATCCCGCCCCTTTACTTACGTGCAGCTGCAGTTAGGAAATCCCCCAGCCATAGCTGATTGGATGGCAAAGGAAGGAGTTTTTTTTCTGGGTTCGGAGGACATGTTAAGAAGAGCTCAGGTTCAGAATGGGTTTGATCCACACCGGAGCTCATCCCTAGTTAAAATCCATGTTAGTTATTTTTTTTACCATCTGTGCCCCATAGGGGAGATTTCCCTTTTACTTCTTGTCCTAGTGACAATAGGACGTAAAAGAAAATCTCTCTAAAGTGAAGTCAATTCCGTCTTACACAAATGTCATTAGAGCAGGTGTTCCCTTTGGAAAATGTCCCCTCTTTTTTGCCTCACTTTCATTCTCAAGTGCAATGGGCACCAGGACCAGTAGAGAGGGTGAATCTTCCAAGCGAGGATACAAATAGTTGTGGGTTCCAACTTATCTCTATTCCATCCAAAACCTTTAAAAAAAACGATTTTGGTTTCAGACACTATAATCCTATGATCACCAGACCCTTCTCCATCATTGATATACCCAGATTTACTCCCCCTAGACTGCACGGTAAATGCTTGTTTTTGCCCAAAATATGCCCAACTTTATGATTATAACCCATTTAATTACAATTTTAACCTAACAATAACAATTTTAATTTGGTAACTCAATATTATATTGAAATGGGGCTTTATAGTATTTTTCAGTGATGCATATTAAAAGGAGGACTGCACAGGAGGACGACAACGGGGGGAGCAAGGCCACCATTACAAATCACTGGGCCCCGTACATCCTATCTGAGAGTTGAGCTTGGAGCACTGTGTTGGCGGAACTGCAATGTGACTGGACTGGATGGAGGGAGGCACAAACAGGTCAAGTGGGGTCCCCCTTGCTGAACTGGTGTGGGGCCCAGGCTCACTACAGGAGAACTGTCGATACCCTCCAATTGACAGCCCTAATGGGGAAGGTGGAGGCAGGGATTGAGTGTAGTCACCCTATAACAGGAAGCACCTGAAGAAGGACCTTCATGGCATTATCATCCAGGATTGCTCTAAAGAAAGCTGCAGATTAAAAAAAGCCTGAAAACAGCTTTTGGAATTACATTAACAATGTAGCAAGGTGCTCTGCGACATGTGACATGACAAGTGTGGCCCAGAAATGCGTCCATAAACAGACGTGTTCTTCACTTCAATATGGTGGGCTGGTGACATCTCTAACAGGTTTCATTATTGGCTGCACCATCCGCGGTCACTTCAAGCACCCACGCTGACAGGGATACCCAGTAAGGAGTGCAGCAGGAATCTGGAATATATGCTGAAATATTGGCACGCATTTGCTGTGGCAACATTTCGTTACACTTATGCAATGTCACAACATTTATTGTCATCCAGAGTTGCATTCATTTGTCACCAAGATCTTGTAGTGATGATGGGAGAGTCGGACCTCTGTGTGAAATCTTCTCCAGCACATCCCAAAGATTCTCAATGGGGTTAAGGTCTGGACTCTGTTGTGGCCAATCCATGTGTACAAATCATGTCCCATGCTCCCTGAACCACTCTTTAACAATTTTATCCTGATGAATCCTGGCATTGTCATCTTTGAATATGCCCAATGTGACATCAGGAAAGAAAAAATACATTAATGGAAAATGGATTTTTGGGGACATAATGTTGCTGAACCAATGGAAGGCTCTGACCTATTTGCTTAGCTAAATCCAGGTGGTCCTTGGCCAGGCAGTGTATATATATAGCAATTTTGAATAGCAATAAATTGAAGTAATTAACCCAAAGTGAAACATGCTAAAAACTAGGGATGCACAGATACTTTTCGAGTACCAGTGCAGATACTTGACATTTTCATGAGAACTACCAGGGTTGCTGCGGTTGCAGCGGGGACCGGGCTCTGGCGCTCCACCGCTGTCCTGAAATCATTAGTCTGTATTGCTTTAGAAAAACTTTCACATGACAATAAACAAAAATGTATCAGTACTCGTACTTGTAAGTACTCGACAAGTACCAGTACTCGTACTCACAAAACTGGTATCTGTTCATCCCTATATTTATATTTATAAAAACAAAATCGTACATTAAAACAGAGATGTACAAATCCCAGGAGCTCCGTGTGCTCCTTACAAATGACAGCTGCCTCCTAATTTTTGAATTTTCATCTAGTGTAGTCTTGGAGCTCAAAAGTATCGGTACATGTACTCGTACTTGTACTGAGTACTGTACTTGGTATCTGTGCAACCCTACTAAAAACCTAAAATGTGAATTGTAATGAAATCAGAATTTGCACATCTAACTTTTCTTTAACTTTTTGTGGAAACATTTGGAAATATCTTTTGTCCACGCCTCGTCTGTCCAGCCATTGCGTCACCATGCATGCCCAGATTCCTCCCCGTCTTGTCCTGCCTTCCTGGTGGACACCTATTCTCTGCCATAATTGCCATCAATAAGGTGGAGATAGAAGCTGACCGGCTTTACCAACCAGCATGGCTATGGGGCACGAGGCTGCAAAGGTAGGAGCAGGTGAGAATTAGGGGACACTAATTAGGAAACATTCTTTGTGTCCTTTACACTCAGCAATTAGCCGGCAGTCAGCCAGGGGAGGAGAAGCCTGGGCAATCCACAGCGCTGGCTTAGAGGGAGCAGAGTTTTGCCCAGAGGGCTCGGCCATGGCACAACACACAACAGGTGGAGAGATGGGAGGAGGGAGCAGCCTGTAATCCTATTGTAATGTGGTAGGATTTGCAGGTATTGGAGCTGCTGCTCAGAAGGTTTCATTTTCAATCCTCTCCTCCTAATTCTCCCTGGAGGAACCAAGACACAGGCACATTAACCGTTTCACCAACACACTCGTGTCTTGATTTTTTTATTACCATATAATCTTGCATATGCTCATAACTGTATACATTATGTACCGCGGGTCCTTACAGGGACATTAAAGTCAAGATGTTTTAAAAAAAAGAATTTCAAGATTTATTAAAGTTAACTCTTGCAGTGGGGCTACCCCCACACAGCAAGGGTTAAGTGCTCGTTTTGGTTTATGGACAAAATTATAGAAGATATACTCACCTGATCCTTGGTCCCACCTGGCTGCAAGACTGGTCCCCTCAGCCTCTTCTCCCTTGGGTTCCGTAATGCAGGTCCATTAGATGTGAGGATGCCAAGGGACACTCCACAGCCAGAGAGGAGGGGGAGTGCCAGGGTAGCCCCTCTGCAAGGGTTAATTTGTTTAAATCCTGGAGTTCTTCTTTAAGCTATTTCAAATTCTAATTAAACCATTTACAATGGATGCTGCTCCTTGATGGAGCCATCCTTGTGTGTGCTAGTAAGCTGTGCGTGTCTCCACAAACACACAGACACAGCAAGGCAAACGATTCCCTACTCTCCTCACTTCTCCAAGTAGATGGACGGCTACTGCAGATTGCTCAGTCCCTTGTGGTCTTGTACTGGACAGGAAGTTTAAGAAAGAGGAGCTGAGAGAGTTGGAGTTGTTTGGAAACATGATGACTGCTTGGGCAAAAATGTATTTTGTTGGGCAATGTATACAGGTGAAACTCGAATAATTGGAATATCGTGCAAAGTTCATTTATTTCACTAATGCAACTTAAAAGGTGAAACTAATATATGAGATAGACTCATTACATGCAAAGCAAGATAATTCAAGCCGTGATTTGTCATAATTGTGATGATTATAGCTTACAGCTCATGAAAACCCCAAGAACCCCAAATCCACAACCTCAAAAAAGTAGATTATTACATGCAATCAATAACACAAGGATTGTACATAGAACAATATCGGACCTCTGAAAAGTACAAGCATGCATATGTACTTAGTACTTGGTTTGGGCCCCTTTTGCAGCACTTACTGCAATTACTTTTGCACGATATTCTAAATTTTCGAGTTTCACCTGTATTTCTTTGATCTGGATTCATTATTGAAAGAAGTCTGAAAGTTTAATACTGCTTTCGGCCATCTTCATGGACCAATATCATCACCTCCACTCCTGCAAAGCCTCACCAGCTAGGGGCAGCTTATTGCGCATTTGACAATTGATTTCATGAAAATGACAATGCTTAGAAGTATAATAATTAAAAAAAGACACAACCAATCACAATTCACTATGCTGATGTCAGACCAATAACAGATGGAATTTGATTAGGGAGTGATAAGCAAAATTGATGTTTTTGTTTCCTCAAAATGTTGGCAGCAGTATAGTATCGTGCTGTGTTGGCCATTGATTAGTGCAGAAGTTTTGGAGTTTAGCCGATACCCTTTATTGGATAGTTACATAGTATTTGAGGTTGAATAAAGACATTAGTCCATCAAGTCCAACCTATAGGAATAATTTAAAATTATTCAGTATGCAAGCTTTCGCGATTCCTTAGATCCCTTCATAAGGCTTTATACATCTCAAATGTAAAGTATTTGATGAAGGGATGAAAGGAATTTCAAATGCTTGCACCGTCAACCACTTTAGGACCATCCTAAATATATATAGAAACTGTGCGGTCCTGAAGTGGTTATACTGCAGCAGCTGTAATCTTGATAACGTTTGTAACAACTGGCAAAATCTGTCACATACAAGCATTCGGGCAGCTATAGAGCCACCCGATTGTTTGTATGGAGCTGGAGAGTATGTGCTCATCCCTCCACTGCCACTTCTGGCTATCCCAGGCTGCACTGTCCCCTGTGTTGGCCCAGGGCTGGCACAGCGGATCTGTGGACCTGGAACAGGGAGAGATCAGCACACTTCCAGCAGCTGATCTCCCATCCGATCACGGAATCCTTAATTGACGTGTATTACATCACTTCCCTTTTCAGCCTGTCATTTCTTTGGCTGCTGTAGCCGAAGAAGAAGCTGATGAAGCACGATTTGTGCTTCATCAGGATCTTTGAGTTCCATGGGTGACATTTGGGGTCCTAATAGACCCCTGATGTCTCCATAAAGAGGACTTGTCACATCCTCATTGCTATGACATGTGATAGCAATAAAGTTAAGTGTAAAAAAAAAAAAAGCTTAAAAGTCACATATAAAAATATATAAAAAAATATAAACATTTTTTTTAAAGTCCCCCACATACACATACAAAGGCAAACACGCATCCGGTGTGCCTATGTATGAAAAGGAATGTGCCACACATGTTACATATCACCACAAATGTCAGAGTGTGGACAATAATTCTAGAGCCATCAATCACTGTTAACACTAAATTGATGAGCAGAAAAAGCTTTCAAAGCTTCACCGATGGACATTTTGTGTACTGTAGTTTTTTGGCTGCTGCATGCAATTTTAAGGCTCGGCATGTTTGGTATCTGTCTACCCAACGCAACCTCATCTTTGAAATTTTACCAAAAAATATATATATACAGTATATGAAATAAAGTTTTGGTTTAGCAGGTAATAGATATTTGAAAACCCAGCATATCCGACCACAAAATATTCTGTAACTTCTTAAAGCAAATATAACTTTTCCTGAAATACCATGGACAGCTCCCAACTATCCGCCCCCCCTCCACAGAAGGTGGGTGGGGTTCATTTACTACAACTAATTGCACCTCTGGGAGGGGGACACAGCTAGAGGACATCCATAACGGCTTAAAGTGGGCTATACACACACTGTTATATCATTTTTGTTTAACCTGCAGGCTGTGAGCCTTGTATCCTGACAGCGGACAGCTGGTTGGCTGCAAGCATCATTCAGAGGAAGATTTTCCAACATGTTCCATTGGCAAAAGTCAATCTAATAGGGTCACCAACGGAGCAAATTTCGCCCAGTGTTTACTCAGCTTCACACTTCTCTGCCAGTGAATCTCTTATACATGCAGCTAGATCTCAGGGTTTATGACCACCAGGAGCAAGATGTCTCCGTTATTTTTTATGTGCAGTTAGTGCTGAGCAGTCAGGCCTGGAATTTTTATTATACTGACTCGTTCGCAGACAGCTGCATGTAGTTGGGAGATCTTTGTTTGGAGGGAAGCTGTCAGTGCCGACCCAATCAGCTGCAGCCCTGACATTCCCCCAACCCAGAACTTCACATAAACAAAGTCGCGGGAAACTGGTGACATCACATCATCGGTAAGGAAAGGTGAATAAAATTAGGGATGCACCGATACCGGTTTTTCGGTATCGAGTACAAATAATATTTTTTTTTCGGTACTCGCCGATAACGAGCACCGCGTGCCCAGATTATCAGGATGTCAGGCGGCGGATCATGACCCTTCGCCCGGCCTCCTGATTGCCTGTGAAGATGGTGTTCTAGCAAAAGAACACAGGCTTCACATGCTGAGGCTGCCTTGCTTCCTGACCAATCAGGAAGCCGGGCGGCGAATCATGATTGGAAGTTCTGTATCGGAGATAAGTATTTTGATGAGTATGAGTACTTGCCCAAATATTAGGTATCGGTGCAGATCAGGCCCGGCGCTACCGCAAGGCAAGTCAGGCGGCCGCCTGAGGGCGCTGCAGGCTCAGGGCGGAAAAAACAGAGCATTTTGACAAGTACTTGTACTTGTCAAAATGCCCCGATGTTTGCGCTGTTTTTTTTCCCCACTTACCTTTGGTGCGGGAGAGCAGCGGCGAGTCAGCGCTGGTCCAGTAGGAGGAGCTCCAGGTGGGGTCCTAAAATGCACCTTGCCTGTGCAGGCAAGAATCCTAGCACCGGCCCTGGTGCCGATAGCAATACTAGTATCGGTGCATCCCAAAATAAAACGATTCTGAAAAGTCTGCTTACACTTTAGGACAGAGGTGGGCAAACTCTGGCCCTCCAGCTGTTGTGGAACTACAAATCCCAGCAGGCATTGCAAGATTCTCACAGCCACAGGCATGACTCTGAGAGACAGATGCATGATGGGATTTATAACTTCACCACAGCTGGAGGGCCAGAGATTGCCCACCCCTGCTTAAGGCATAAGTCCAGACAATATCTTTTTTAGTTTTAGATAGAGTATGGAAGAGTTAACATTTCTGCTAAGATTTCATTTTTGTGACCGCATTGGGGAGATTTTCCTCACTTCCTGTCCCATTGACAACTGTAAATGAAATAGGGAGAGAACATGTCACCAGGACAGGAAGGACAGATAGCAATAAAGACATTGTCAGAAGCTTTGACCCTTCACCACTGTACTAAAATATGTTTTTGTCCTTGGAGGAGAGTTTTCTAGGCACAACCTGTCCTAACATAATTGTTGTAAATGTTGAGGTCTGGTGCTGCCCCCAGGGGTGTATCTAGCATAAGTGCTACCTGAGGCAGGGGGGTTGGGGGGAGTGCTGGTGTTGCATGCTAACGGCGCTCTGCCCATCGTCCTGGTGCTGCACTGCCCACCTCTGGCTGGCGTCCTGCTCAGCTCACTGACGTCATAAAGGTTGCTAGGAGCTGACTGGGATGTCGGTCAGAGAGTTTCAAGTTGCTCAGAACTGTGTATGGCCCTAACACATCTCCTCACCCAGCTCTTATCAACCTGGGACACTCTGTCTGGGAAGGGGGCCCCTCTCAGAGAAATGCCACCTGAGGCAACTGCCTCATTATAGGGACGGCCATGGCTGCATCTCTTACCATGCTGCCGTAGCCACTGGCCCATGTCATTATGTTAAATACAGCCCTGGGTGAAGGGAAGAGTTTATGGAAAACATGAAAGATCGCAGTCATATGGCACACTTCTAAATTCGAATGGTGGTCAGATCCTCCATGCTGGTTCACGCATGTGTATAGCCAGGCATGACCATAAAAAGGCCCAACGGCAGGATGATTTATGACAAATGATGTAAAGAAATACCATGAGCTGGTGAATAATGTGCCCCAACAGGTCCTCTTTGAAGCAGCCCACCATGCACGCTACAAAAGCCTCCTGTTTGATTGTGGATGGAGAGAGCTACAATAAATAAATATGTGACAACAGGTGACGTCTCTGCTGTGTCCCCTGTAACATGCCATCTGGCACAGGTATCTCTCCGGCTCAGTGTAGCAAAGTACAATTAGCCGGTGCTTGGAAGAATGATTGGTCGGCGCACATGTCGGGGAGTATTGGGTTTCATTCCCTCCACATTCTCCGGCATCCGTTTTTTCCCTCTCTTTTTACCTTCCCTCCACAATGAAACCCTCAGCAGACTCTGAGATGAGATTTCTGTGCAAACAACTCTGACGGGCATTTACACCTTGTGTCCTGTTAGGGCTGAGGTGGGCAGCTCCAGCTGTTGTGGAACTACAAGCCCCACGAGTTGCCCACCCCCGCGTTAGGGTGATTCACCCCCTCTATTTGTCCTGGTGACCGATATCACTGAAAGTGAATGAAATCCCACATTTTGAGTTGTCATCAGAACAGGAATAGATGACCTGATGAAACACTTGCAAATACATTTGCAAATATGTACAAAAAAAGTCAGATCCTCAGTTTTTTGTGGGTCGTCATCAGTTGACGGGTATGCCGACTTCGCTGCAGCTCTTCAAGAGAGAACTGAAGTTACAGGCGGATAGGCAGGTAAGTATTATTAAAGTAGAACTGAAGCCCAAACTTTTATTTTTTGTTTTGGATAGAGTAAGGTAGGGTTATAACCCCTATCAGTGTTTTCTCGCTATCTGTGATCTCTGGGGAGATTTAATTTCACTTCCTGTCCAATAGCCACAACAGGAAGTATTAGGAGAACTGTGGACCCCGTTCGTAAGTACGGATTGTCCGTAAGTCGGACGTCCGTAACCCGGGGACTGCCTGTATATGTTATTTGAAAACTTTAATAAATATATATTGAATAAAAAAACAAAGTGAGGGAAATCCCTGGTGGTGAGCAGGGTCACCAGAACTAGTGTCCCCATTGGAAGATTTCCCCTCCATTCATGTTCTGATGACTCAAAATGTGTGATTTTCTTTCACTTTCTCAGTGATAACGGGACAAAAAAAAGGACAAAAAAAAAGAAAGTGAATCTTCCTAACAGGGACACAGACAGCAATAAAAACCTGACTGGAGTTCTATTACTTCCCCACTCTTTTCAAAACTAAAAAAAAGTTTTGCCTTCAGTTGCACTTTAATAACACTTACCTGTCTCACCGCCTGTGACTCCAGTCTTTGCTCTCTTGCAGAACTGAAGCTCTGCAAGGCGACCCCAGGCACCCCCACCAGCTGCTGAACGACCAGAAATCAGAGGATCCGACATTCCATGTTGATTAAGGCCCGGCTCAAATGAAATCCCATTATTTCCTATGGGCATGGTTCCCACCTGGGCATATTTCAGCGCGTCAGAACGCGCTGAAAAACGCCCTACGCCCAAAGAAGTACAGGAGCTTCTTTGGGGCGTATTTCCGCGCGTATCCATTGGGATACAGGCGGATAGCTCTCGTAAATGCGCATTTGACGTGCGTTTTGTGGATCGCAAATCGCTGTAGAAACGCGCATCATACGCGCATATTGCGAATGCCCAGTTGGGAACCCAGCCTTAATGTCAGAATTCCAATGCTGCAGCAGGGAGAGCTAGTGTAAGATTTTATTTGTAGATAGAATGTTGTGACCTACTTTATGTTTGTAACATGTTCACATTCACATACTGTAGAATACACCCACAAAAAATAGAAAGAGGTGATCGAGAAGTGAGCGAGCGACGCTATGTGTTCGTTCTCTTCCCGATCTATTGAGCCGACGTGTGACAGTTTCCTTGTCACACGTCGGCTCGAACTATGAGGATGAATGATTTTCACTCACCTCATAGATCTCCTTTAATGGTTTCCATAATGAACCCTGTCTGTACTGTGCTGGCAGATCTCATTATTAGTTGTGAACTACTGTAGACCTGAACACTCTCTGTCCTAACAAAGGGTTAAAGATCTCAGGGCTTGTGTCATACATGGCATGTTAAAGAAGAACTCCAGGGAAAGAAAATTGTCCCCAGTGAGATCCCCAGTGAGCTGCGATAATTAAGCACAAGGGGTCCGAAGGACAATGGTGCCGTTTTGAAAAAAGGAGGGAAACCACTAATTGGATTGTGTTTCATATGAGACGGGGATAGGGATTCAATGTGCTGCTGAACATTGCTTTAATGTAACATGTTATAGACTTTTTGGCATAGTCATATCAAATAAAAGGCTGGCACCACTCAGAAGTCATATTCCAGTTTTTAGGTGGTAGCAGGCAGGTTAAATCACATGCTGTCCCTTTAAATTTCACAGGGACTATGGTGAGATAAGGAGTTCTGAGCTCCACCTGACATCAGCAGCAATTACATTGCCAAGGGATGAGTTTTTTGTGGCCTAAAGTGTATTTCCACATTGACAGACACATCTGAGAAAACCCCTCTATATGTTTGTTATGTCTTCCTATTCACACAGCATACCCCAAAAATATATGTTATAAATTATTTATGACCTTTTTTGATGTTTCTTTGAAGCAGGCCTTGGGGCAGACTGCAAGATACTTTGAACCATCATGATGTGAACATGGATGGGGACACAGTGAGGACAGACTCTGTGTTTTCTCTCATTACTCCAGGGCAAATTTTCTTAACCTTTGCAGTGGGGCTACTTTGATATTTTGTAACCTAAAAAACGATCACTTAACCCTTGCAATGCGGGGGTAGTCTCACTGCAAGGGTTAAGAGAGATTTTCCCTGCAGTTCTGGTTTACTGAGAGGAAACAGAGCATGTCCTCATTGTGTCCCCATCCATGTTCCCATCATGATTTTTCTGAATATCTGGGAGCCATATACATATATTACTAAAGCTGAGGCTCCCAGACCCGAGTGGCATTCGGGAGCTCCTGAATGCAATTCTGAAATTCGGATCCCGAATGCTATTCGGGTCTAAGAGCATCAGCTTTAGTATTATATATACTGTATGTGGCTCCCATCTTGCCATAACGGAAATTCATTTTCAGACCCATTCGGATGCATTAAACCGAAAAACACATCTGATTGGCCAGAAAAGTCACATGTCCGATTCAGTTTAGTTTTTGAACGAAATTTGGTCGGGATCCGAAATTCTGAAATGGAATTTCGGATTCGGACACATATGGATTTGAAAATTCGGATGTGACCGAATGTCTGAATTTCGGAAAAATTGTACGAATTTTGATTCAGAACTAAACGCACACGCCTACCTATTACTGAACAATGCTGATGTTATAACAGGAGAGGGTATGCTGGGACTTTACAACTCCTTTAAGAGTTCTGTGGATGCAAAGTGTTTAATTTATTTCTACAATTTTTATTCTGTTGGTCTTTTTTGTAACCTTGTAACAGATGCAACAGAACTCCGTTTTTGAAAATGATAAATCTGGTTTTCTATATTCCCTTTAGGAGGACAGGACCAAACAAGGCCTGGTGGTGTGCATGGCGCCATCCAGTCACTGACGTCCCAATCAGTATTGAAGGATTGCGTCAATAGCGGTCATCCTTGGCTGGGAAAGGCAAGGCTGGAGAACAAGAGTGGGGCATGTTCTGTCGGGCAGCCGATGGATCCCTGCTCCCCTCTCCTGCTGAGCACACACTGCCTGAATGCAGTCAGCCGCATTAGGATAGCGGCCATTGTGCAGAGATACAGTATATTTAACATGACTAAGTAATAGTCTGCTTGAATAGTGAATTCTCATCACTTGAAACGAGATCATGATCTGTTGTCTCAGCAATCAGAGATTGTGAGTTTGTCAACAGCAGTCAGTGACAGATGTGCGCACGCTTTGTTCCCCCCCCCCCTCCCCCCCAGGACCCGGGGGACGAAGGGGACGGATATTCTGTAAATTTTTACCCAGGACCAGGGGGACGAAGAGGACGGATCCTCTGTAAATAAAGTTATTGTCTGTGTGTACACACACCAATAAAGAGAAAGGCTCACACTGACACATCGACAGCAATGAAGAGCAGCCCTGTCTATAGAGCTTCAAAGGACGACTGTAACTGTTTTCTTAGGGGATTATCCTCACAAATCGGGCTCATAATCTGCATATACATTCATGACCGGGGTGACAATCCACAGCCAACTAAGACGTGGGCAAACACGGCGCTTAGTGCCTTAAGAAAAGGGAAGTCCATCACACACGACCGGCTGAATGGCATTCGGCATTTTGTTAGCTCAACGAATTGGTTCCCATGGATGCCTACGCAGTGATCCGGGACTCAGTATTTTCTGAAGGCAAATTAATCTCTTAATGTTATTAAAGCAAAGGGTTTGTCACTTTCTCCCCCCCTCACCCAAGTGACATTATACTGGGTGGCAGCGAAAGAGCAGGGTACATCTCCATTGCAAAGTTAAAGCCTGTGTGCCCCCTTTTTTTTCTTTTACTCAAACAGCAAGCAGTATTTTCAATGAGGGGCTCACTTGTCTGCGATTTAAAAAAAGAAAAAGCATTTTTGAAGGTTGTTTTAAATGCCAAGTTAAGGCCTATGAAACCGCCCCCATCAACTGCAAGGATACAAAGTATGACGGAAAGCTGCTAAGAGTCAAATAATGCATAATATTAAGAAATAATAGTAGACAATCAAAGGTTTAAAAAAAAAACAAAGTCACATGATCTAAATAAACAAAGCATCCCCAAAACCAACCAACACTTAGGGGTTCACTTATTAAAG